TTTCACACAGCTGTGCAAACACTATGGATTTGTTTTGCTGTAGTATAGTGCCTTTTCTCCAATCATTGTTGTCAATAGCACCATTCCCAGGAAGGGTTAATTGACCATACTGTATTGTGTCCTATGCAGTTGCACAGTTGTATGAAATTGTTTCTTTATCTATTAAATAACTCTAGGTTAGTGTTGGCAGTTTTAATTGTGTAGGAGGGATGAAGGGTGATTCATGTAAGAGTAATTTGATATAATGTATAGTGAATTATACAACTTTTCAGTAGAATCAGACGTTTTGATTGGTTGGCTTTCGTGTGTTATCAAAGTATAGATACACGGATTACGTCAAAACTAATTGTTTGTTGTATAAAACAGATAGATCTCATTTTTCCGTGTGTGTGTACTCTAATAGATACACAGATGACGTCAAAATGTAGTGAGAACAAAAAAGTACGCACGAGACGCAGTCGAGTGCGTGACTGTTGTTCTCACTACATTTTGACGTCATCTGTGTATCTATTAGAGTACACACACACGGAAAAATGAGATCTATCTGTTTTATACAACAAACAATTAGTTTTGACGTAATCCGTGTATCTATACTTTGATAACACACGAAAGCCAACCAATCAAAACGTCTGATTCTACTGAAAAGTTGTATAATTCACTATACATTATATCAAATTACTCTTACATGAATCACCCTTCATCCCTCCTACACAATTAAAACTGCCAACACTAACCTAGAGTTATTTAATAGATAAAGAAACAATTTCATACAACTGTGCAACTGCATAGGACACAATACAGTATGGTCAATTAACCCTTCCTGGGAATGGTGCTATTGACAACAATGATTGGAGAAAAGGCACTATACTACAGCAAAACAAATCCATAGTGTTTGCACAGCTGTGTGAAACTTTTTATAAAGTAAATGTTTAAAAATTTGTAGCTTTGCACAATGTAGGAGTAATTAGTGATGAAAACAGTGAAACAGTGTGATTTATGATAGAGTAAAATGTTASTTGCAAAATATTYCAAATAGCACCTTTTCAGATTTGGTTAATCATCTCTTACGCTTACCCCAGCTTTCTTTGCAATCTTTCAATCTCTGTATTCTTTTCATTGGTGACTTGTGATAACTGAGCTCTCAACTGTGCAGTCTCAAACTGATATTCYTGTAGCTTAAGTGTCACTACACTATCCTGGTCACATGACTTAATGAGTAAGGCATGTTGTAGTTTAGCATCCATGTTTAGATGTTGGTGCTGTAGTTGAGCAATAGTTTTCTTTTGTCTGTGAATTGTRGAAGAAGCTTAATATTTAAACATTAAGTTAAAGTTTAATATTCATAAGCTCTGAATAACAGCTCTGAATAAATTAACATTAACTTGAGCAGGAGGTGGAAAAAATCCCCTCCTCCTGAGCCATTTGCCCTACATGTACCCTCCTTACTCCCCTTCCCCAAGAGCACCATCCCCTTCAATCTCCTCTTTCCCCTCCCGTTTTGCTGCATCCTCTCCAAGACTTTCAGTCTCTGATACTGAATTTGTTGATTGCTGACTCACTGTACTTCAATGTAGTTGACCAGTTTCAGCGAGCAATCCAAAAATGGTATAATTTTATTAAAAAAACTTTTTACTTGGAAACTTGCTAATTTCAATTGAAATGTTCATATCACAATGTCAGTCATTTTACAGTTGGATGCAATCTGTTGTAACTACAGAGTCTGCACTATTTTCAAACTTTTTCCTGTACTGAGAATACTCTGTAACAACTGAATAACTGAATAATGAACAGTATGTGGCACATATCTAGAATGTACATCAGACATCTAATTTAAGGAATGTTGATCACTACACAAATGACAACAGTAATGTGTGTTCACCTGTCAATGATCTGATCTTTTTGTGTAATCAAGTCATCCTTTGCTTTCAACAARGAATCCCATTTATCAGCATCATCAGTACTGGTTGTACTTGATGGTGTTCTAGATCGTGAACTCTTTGGTGTGGTATATCCATCATTGGATGTCAGGTCTTGTCTTAGAGGAGCAACATATGCAATAGATGAACCTGAACCTAAGACAAACTGACTCATTAACTGCAAACTAGAATATGGAGGAAATGTGGGGGTGGCTAATTCTTGTAACCAGATCTTTCTCAGTTAATTCCAATAAAAAAGCACTGGCTGGAAACAATAACAGAAGACCAAGAATCTTGGTTGTAATGATATATGCATGCTGATGGTGTATGGAAAATTTTGAACCAATCAAATTAACGAAACTCATTTGTCACCAACCAGAGCCTTTTCTATTGGGAAACAGAGAAGGATCTGGGTATGAGAATGGGTTGGCTAACAAGATGATATCAGGGACTTGACGCGTACATGATGTTGCTTGCCATCAGAAAGAAATATGTTGTTGAATAAAACAAACTAAAGACCATAAAGTACTAAACAGTAAAGACCACAGAGATGCGAATCTGTGTCTGGAGCTTTAATTAGTAGATATCAGTTGTAAAAAATGACTTTCCATGCCCACAAAAAGGTTGACAACAAATCACCATCCAGCAAAGTTCCATTCAACATTCGTCCCATCCCTCCCATCCCCCAAGATATTGCTATTGGAATCCAAGGAGCATTCAGCAAATATACACCTTTTTTAAAATACAACTTTGAGCAATGGAGGGGAAAGTAAGCAATTAATATAAAAACTGTGCAATATTGCAAAATGTTATGATTGAAAAAAAGTGTCCAAACTACAATCTTTTTGTCCAAGATTGCAGCTTCAGTGACGATAATATAAGCAAAAATGTGAAGGAACAATCTCTGCCTTGACATGCTCATTCTACTTATAGGTCAACTAACTCTCATAGACTATCAGTGCTTTGCTTGTGATCACTGAACTTGAGTTATAAGTTATCATGAATACACATGAACAGACAATGTGTAAAAGAGTAATACTGACTTACCAGTACCTTGGTCAAGACGAGGAATCGTCTGTGAGGTGATATAACCACCGACTGATGGTCCTGAATATGCCTGCTGATATCATGACGATGATTAGTAACCATGACAACAAAAATGATAACAGTGACAATGTTTTCATTGAAATGAAANATCCCATTTATCAGCATCATCAGTACTGGTTGTACTTGATGGTGTTCTAGATCGTGAACTCTTTGGTGTGGTATATCCATCATTGGATGTCAGGTCTTGTCTTAGAGGAGCAACATATGCAATAGATGAACCTGAACCTAAGACATAACAAGCTGACTCATTAACTGCAAACTAGAAGATGGAGGAAATGTGGGGGTGGCTAATTCTTGTAACCAGATCTTTCTCAGTTTCCAATAAAAAAACTCTGGCTGGAAACAATAACAGAAGACCAAGAATCTTGGTTGTAATGATATATGCATGCTGATGGTGTATGGAAAATTTTGAACCAATCAAATTAAAGAAACTCATTTGTCACCAACCAGAGCCTTTTCTATTGGGAAACAGAGAAGGATCTGGGTATGAGAATGGGTTGGCTAACAAGATGATATCAGGGACTTGACGCGTACATGATGTTGCTTGCCATCAGAAAGAAATATGTTGTTGAATAAAACAAACTAAAGACCATAAAGTACTAAACAGTAAAGACCACAGAGATGCGAATCTGTGTCTGGAGCTTTAATTAGTAGATATCAGTTGTAAAAAATGACTTTCCATGCCCACAAAAAGGTTGACAACAAATCACCATCCAGCAAAGTTCCATTCAACATTCGTCCCATCCCTCCCATCCCCCAAGATATTGCTATTGGAATCCAAGGAGCATTCAGCAAATATACACCTTTTTTAAAATACAACTTTGAGCAATGGAGGGGAAAGTAAGCAATTAATATAAAAACTGTGCAATATTGCAAAATGTTATGATTGAAAAAAAGTGTCCAAACTACAATCTTTTTGTCCAAGATTGCAGCTTCAGTGACGATAATATAAGCAAAAATGTGAAGGAACAATCTCTGCCTTGACATGCTCATTCTACTTATAGGTCAACTAACTCTCATAGACTATCAGTGCTTTGCTTGTGATCACTGAACTTGAGTTATAAGTTATCATGAATACACATGAACAGACAATGTGTAAAAGAGTAATACTGACTTACCAGTACCTTGGTCAAGACGAGGAATCGTCTGTGAGGTGATATAACCACCGACTGATGGTCCTGAATATGCCTGCTGATATCATGACGATGATTAGTAACCATGACAACAAAAATGATAACAGTGACAATGTTTTCATTGAAATGAAAAAATGATCATGTTCTAAGAACAAGCAAGCAGCTGTACTGTAGAATATAATGCTGTCAATACTTTTACATGATCATATTCATCAAGACATCATTCATCAAATAACTTTGTATGGACAGATACCAAACAATATTGTTAGTAGTAAAGGTCTACAGAAAAAAAAGGCAAAAC